CAATCCATCTCATTGGGGGTCTCCATCTTTTTCTCTGACCCTCCACTTTACCAAACATGATATCCTTCTCCAGTGATTGGTCCCTCCTGACAACATGCATAGATGCCCTTTTGTTATGATAACCTAGAAAGCAATGCAGCATAAGAAAATGGATAAAATACTAAATTAACCACAAACCTGGAGCTTTTTGTATCTAACATGGCAGTGCACTAGGTGGCATCTCCAGGTTTCAGTGCAACCACACAACATTTATTTCCTACCCACCCCACACTGCTTGTGGTAGAATATATGGTGGAGGAATATCCCTGAGCTCACTCCACCAGCTCCGTTCTCCCCACAGGCAGAGGTGTGTTCAGGAGCAGGAGGTGGGTGTGCTCAATTCTGCCCCTTCTCCTCAGGTAGCAACCTCCCTGCAGGAAGGGTGCATTCTTTGCTCCTCCTGCTGTTGGTTTTATGTGGACAGGTCTTCACAGGTGAAGCTTGAGGATTCTCACATCTGGTGGTGATTGGGCAGGTAAGTTTATTTGGGGAACATAATTGTAGGAACCTCATTTGGCTGCACATTCAGGTTACTACTCAGATGCCCTAGGATAAGCACTCAACCATAAGGTCAGTTTAAACCACAAGGCTGGCAGTTCAAACTTACTAGCCATTCCTCGGAAACCCTATACAGGGTCACAATGAGTCAGAACAGAGTCAAAGGCATTTAACAACAACAAGAAAGTCCTAACAGTTGAAAAGTGGGCAAGATGGCAGTATAAACAGTTGCACGCTCCAGTCACCCCATAGCAAAAATAGAAAAGGAAAAAACAAAAATCACGAGAGTAGTGGAACCAACAGTCTCGACTCTAAAAACCAGTCAAGAGTTACATCATCTAAGCAAACACTAAATCAAGAAAAAACTGGTTTTCAAACAGGAAAACTTTTCTTTCTATCTTAGATGTTCTTCCTTCTCCTCACAAGTACAGCGGTGGGGTCTGAGGCATGAACCATGTTGCCCTTTGGCTCAGGAGTGTATAGAACAGACTGTTGTCTGTGACTGTATATATCTGTCTGGAGGCTGACTGACGGACTGAGGAGGCCCAATCCTCCCTGGTCTGGGATGGGGAGAGAGGAATCAGCAAACATGGCTCCCAGGCAGAGGCTACCCAGAATCACCCGGGATTAACTAGTGTGATTGAAGCACACAGCAGGCTTCCAGGGGCCAAAGGCGAAGGGCTGATGTGGAAGTTTCTTACAGAATTTAGAACTTTTAATAGCACCAAGTAGTCAAATAAAATGGCAGATTCAAAAGTTCTAAAGGTCCATCCACCAAAACAATTGCATGGGAAAGAACTATTGGAACCAATCTGCTTGGGCTTTAATAAAGAAGATTACAAGAGGCTGATCTTTCCATGATTCTTAAGAAATGGTGTTGACTATAAATGTAGAAGATGCGTAACTAAAAGTGGGGAGTAGTTAATCTTTCATTTCAGGAACAGAGGACCCGAGGACCAGCAAGAGGGAAGAGCCTGAGTGGAGTGTGGGATCCTAACCAGAAGAGCGGTGACGGCAGAGACAGGGGCAGAGGCAATGGGAGAGAGAGAACGAGCAGCTGAGGACTCCAGGCTCTGTGCCTGCGGGCAGGAGGCTGTCTTGAAGAGTGTGCCTTTAGGACATTTAAACAAATATGTATTTTCTGTTTTTTATGTGCACAGCAAAACACAGGGGGGAGGGCCCCTCCATACACAGAGTAGACAGGGATGGACAACTTGGACATTGGCTACCCAAAATGGAGGGATTACAAAGGCAAGAAGTGACTGGCTTATAAGCTTTCAAGAGGGAACCTAGATACAGAGGGTGTGGAGGAAGGTTGAATCTCCACTGAGTAGTATCCAGTCTGTCTAGGTGGGGCTGATGAAATGAAATGCGGATAGGTCTCTTGTGATACAATAGGGAATAACTGTTATCAGGACTGATTGTGAGGGTTGGAAATGTAAAGGTAGACGTTTTGTAGCAAGGAGGGGAGTGATTAACTTTTCATTCTAGGAGCGGAGGTCCCTGGGACCATCAAGGGAGATGAGCAGAGAGTGGGACCCTACCCAGAGAAGCAGTGATGCCTGAGATGGAGGTGAAGATGATGACGTGGAGAGATGGGGCAGCTGGGGACTTTAGACAAAAAGAGGGAGAGGGGCTGTGTGCTGATGACCGGGGTGCAGCTTGTGGTGTATACCCTTTGGTTGGTTGATGAGGCATGGAGGGGAGTGTAACCATGGCAATGAAACGATATACAATAGGATGAATATAAAACTAATGTTCTCCCATGTAAACTATCACATAATTCACAATAAACATTCATATATATATATATATAATTTTAAAAATTAAAAAAAACAGCGGGGTGGGAATAGAGGTAAATACTGTTGACTGATGGTACATGGACGGGGTTGTAACCATTTCAATGAAACAAAATATGATTTATTGAATGTAAAACTGATAATCTACCCTGTAAACTTTCACTTAATTCACAACAAAAACTTTTAAGAAAAAAATGGTGTTGAAATTCAACTACCATTTAAGGAGAAGTGAACATTCCTAAGAAAGAAAAGGACCTGAACAATAGTAGACATAAGAAAGTACTGGAAGTCTTTCTTGAAACCGTATTATGGGTAACCTGAGTAACATTTAAGGAACTCGTTAGAGATTGATTAGGAAATGTGTCAGGTTGGATTCTCTAGGCAGTTGTTATTATTGTTAAATGCCGTGGAGTAGGTTCCCACTTATAGCAACCACATAGTTTCCAAGGTGGATTTGAATCACCAGCCTTGAGATTAGTAATCCAGTGCTTATGCAACAGCTCCACAACAGGACTCCTCTCTAGGAATTGTTGTTTTTAAGTGCCATCAAGTTCCAACTCATAGCAACCCTATATAGCGTTTCTGAGAAGTGGCTGGTGAATTTGAACTGCCAACCTTCAGATTCAAACTGACCCTGTGGTCCAGTGCTGATAGTGCTACATCAGGACTCCTCTCTAGGCAGTTGTTGTTTTTGTTAGGTGTCATGGAGTCAGTTCAGAGCACTATAAAAGCTCTTTGGGTTATGGCATCTAAGCAAACACTGAATCAAGAAGAAACTGACTTTCAAAGAGGATAGTGTAGCTATCAAACATTTACTTTAGGGAGATGGGTTTAGTGTTAGTCAACAATGGCTAAAGGAGAGGAAAGGTCAGAGAAGGCAGGGAGCCATGATTGGAGAGTTATAACACTGGTCCAGCTGAGGGAGTCACAAGAGATAGGAGGGAGGGGCTTGAAAGACTGCCAGAGTAGAACGAACAACACTTGAGACTTGAAGGAGGAAGAAAGAGAGCAGGAAGACTCAACGGTGACTCTGTTTTTGAGCTTGGGTAACTGAGTAAATAGAAACAGTGGAGTCAAGAGGAAAATCTGAGTTGAGAGGAAAGGATGAGGAAATCCGTTTGAAGCCATAGCCAGATGATTTGTCTAGCACACAGTTAAAAATAGGGACTCAGAAATTACTTTAGAATTAATAGATGATGGATTTAATAGGTAATTGAAGTAAATAGAGGTCTGATAGACAATATAATTCATAGTGTGGCACTGCAGGATAATGCGTGAACTGCAAGGTTGGCTGTTCCAAACCTCACCAGCTGCTCCTCGGAAACCCTATACAGGGTCTCTATGAGTCAGAACTGACTTGATGGCACTTAATAGCAACAACAACATAGTTCCGAGTAATTGACATGAGATAAAAGGTGAAACTATGAAAGTAGATAGACTTATCAAATATGAAATAGACTTCTGACATAGATAAATAATTACCTGCTTATGTTAAAAAATTGACATAATATTTATATCTCCCTTTGTAAGATACAATACTGGATCATAACAATTAAAAAAAACTAGAATATATGAGTGGGCTGAGAAAGGAAATCTGCATACAGAAAGTAATATAACAACAATAATACTTGGCATGTTGCAAATTCATTCCTTAGAACAAATTTTCATCACTGACATTTAGATGCTGAAATGCTAAGCAAATCTATTGAAATTATTCATCTCTCTCTTTTCCTCTGAAATCAGCATTGTTCTCTGGATGACAAAATTAATTACCAGCACGAATAATGAATTTCATAAGACTGTTAATCTCAACCTTGATCTCACAAAAACATTGATAAAGTGGCCTGATGTTTGCATGCTCTATTAATACCATCTTGTGACTTAACAATATACTTCCTTATCTTAAACTACCTTAAATTTCTTTATATTGAGATGCTTAATAATTATACACCAAAATACATATTCTCCGAGCCTCACCTGTTTTGGGTTTCTCTGGAGAGTTGAGATTGGAATGTTGATCTTCTGACAAAAGGTTCACATTGATGCCATACAGTGGATCATCCAAGAAAGAGGGTCTTTTCAGTCTGCCAATGCCGAGAGTTCTTGACATAAAATAATCTTGTGAGTCACTAATAACCTCATCCTTGGAAAATGGGAGGCATTTTATAGTCTCTGCTTCAATGACAAGAGCATCTGACATGTAATGCCCAGCCAAGGCTTTGGTGAGATAGTAGCCTCTAGGTGTTTCACATTCTGCATTCTCAAAGATATTTGCAGCTTCTACCTCAGTCCTTTGGACTTCTATTGCTGATCCATTTAGTAACTCAGAGAGAACCGATCTGGAAAGCTGGGGAAATTCAAAGGTTGTATCCTCAATGTCTTTGTTTTCTCTTCCTGAAGATAGTCGTCTATTGATGGATTGTTGTTTGATTATGCATTCATCCAGAAGAGACTTTAACTGTTCCTCAGAGAGAAGGGATGTTGAATCTAACTGATGAAACAAACCAAAAGTTTTCATTGTCAACTGATTGATTCATTTTTGGTAAGCCTCCAATAATACAATAGAAGCATAAATGCCAATGACCCCCACTCACACAAAACACTCAAATAGGAAAAGAATTCATCTCAAATCATCAAAAAGAGCAGAGTAAATGCACAGCAGCCCTGAAAAATAAATTTAGATTCAATCACACACATGAAATTCTAGAGGGAAGTCTCACAGCATTGATGGAAAGGAAAGACCACACCAATTAACCACCAACACCTTCTCTGTCCATGGAAGAGAAAGAAATAACTTGAGGTGAAATGGAGATATTAGCAATCCACCACTGTCTTAAAAAGACTTAGAACATCAAGCAGAAAGTAGGCAACTAATTTTTTGATAAGTAACCATGAATCCTGTCGAATCTCAAATTTTGTTTCTCTGTCCTTATCCATTCCTTAGTGTGAACCCCATCAACACCCAATTCCCTGCACCAGGCAAACAGGGAAGAAAACACCTGCGAATGGGAATTCATCACTCCCACAACTTTCAGTGGATAATATTGCTGAAGACAGAAAAGGAAGGGTGGAGGGGTTGTGCATCCTGCCATGTGCAATTGCTTCAAAGCTACAAATTTAGGTAGAGGCCAGGGGCATTCCAGAACCAATGCATTGTGGAAGAAAAAACTGATCATACACATTTAATTCTTGCCTGTGAAAATTATCAGGGTGGGTCATTTTTCCAAAGTCAAGATCTTAAGAATTTAAAGCCATTTTTTTCTCCCAGTAGCGCTCTTAGGAAATAGATAACATAAATGACACCAAAGAATACTTCTGTGTGCTACATATATGAATTTAACTGAATAGCACGCCACTTAAGTTACAACCATCTGAAAAAAGTATGGAATTAAAATATATTAAAATGCACTGAAAAATATCTCCTTTCCTAGAGAATCAAGATATTCCAAATTTATAAAGTGAACTGCCTGGTGAAATACAATCTGCCTTTTCAGGTGCATGAATTATCTAGGAACAAGAAGTCTCCATAAGAAAACTTAAACATGAATGCCATTTACCTTAATTTCTACTTCAACAAAGTAAAAAGAAAAAAGTACCATTGCTCCATTTTGAAGGTATACAGTAAAATATAAATATTCTGAATATGAAAATTCCTGGAAATACTTGAGAGTATGCACTCCTGAGAAGAATCAACCATTTGAGATCAAAAGGGTAGCATTTACCCAAGGGCAAGTTCAGAAGACAGAAGGATTTGGAAAGGAGGAATGGAAACAGGAAACATAGGGAAGAAGTAAAATAAGTGATGTTACATTTTTGGGATTGTAAACAATGACATGAAACAAAATATTAATGAATTGTTGAATTGATAAGTGATTTGCTTTGTAAATTTTCACCCAAAACTACTGAGAAAAAAAATCTCATTTGTTAGAACTGGTACCATTAACTCCCCATTATTGTGCAATCCTTGTAATGCAGCTAATAAAAAGTGGATGATAAAACAGGTATTTCATCATACTTTTAAGCTGTATCAGTGATTTAAAATTATATTTAGATTCCGCTTGTTAAATCCTAGTTTTCATAGTGCCACTATGAATTTGAAAGTAATAAGAAATTACCTCTGGGAATATATTCTTAATTCATTGTCTGGAATTCAAAATTCAGATAATCCACCCTAAAGTTAATATCAACTAAATCTACTGAAGGAGTTGAATTACACAAGCTTTAGTAAATCCTACTGTTAAGTACTATGGAGGCCTGGTAGCACAGTGGATTATAAACTGGGTTGCTAACCATCAATTCTACCAGTTGCTCCAAGGTAGAGAGATGAGGCTTTCTATTCCCTTAAAGATTTACACAAGGCTGCTGAGTCAGAACTGACTTGGAGGAATACCACCACCACCGCTACCACCACTGTTAAGCACTAGACTTCTGAGGCATCCACAGGTCTACTTTATCACTAAACTGCCACAATGCCAAGAGCCAATTAACATTCCCTCCAGTCTACCAGTCAACTAGAACATGGAGGTAGTCCTTGTATAATGCCGGTGCTGTGTTTCTGCGTGCTGCCAAGTTGATCACGACTCATAGTGACCCTACAGGACAGAGTAGAATTGTCTGTAAGCTGTCCTAGGCAGTAACCTTGTAGTGTAGTGGTTACGAATCGGGCTGCGAACCTCAAGGTCAGCTGTTCCGCGGGAGAAAGATGAGGCTTTCTGCTCCTGTAAAGATGTACAGCCTCGGAAACCCTATTCAGGGTCACTATGAGTTGGAACCGACTCCATGGTACATATTATTAGCACTAGCATTGCCTTTGTGGAAGCAGATTACCGGTCTTTTCTCTGGTGGATTTGAACTGCCGCCAATGTTTTAGTTAGCAGTCAATTACTTAATAACTGCACCATCACAATCCCTTTAAAGTCTACAGCACCCAACGTTCCCATGAAGTCTCTCATCCAAGTACTAACCAGGCCCCAACCCAGGTTAGTCTGCAAGATCGGAAAGATTAAGTGTAACTTTCAAATTTGCTCAGGTAAAATGCCCTTATATTCAGTAGCTAATCCCTTACACTTAAGAAAGAGCCCACTGAGTGCCATCCTCACCAAAACTTCACTTGGTGATTATGAAATCACCAACTACTAGAAACAAAGAGAATACCCCAAAACTTACCAAGCTAAAAATAGATCATATGCCAAGGATCTGTCATCAAAAGGCATTAGACTTTTCAGTAGCAATACTCGAAATTGAAAGACAATGGAAAATACTTAACAAAATTCTGAGGGAAAACTAATTTTAATCTAGAATTATTTAACCAGTCAAATCATAAATCAAATGAAGTTGAGATAAAAAAAAAAAAAAAGTTCACACATGCAAAGACTCAAACATTTCATGTTTCATCCATCATTTCTTAGGAAGCTGGTAAAAGATGTGCTTCACAAAAACAAAGGTATATAATAAAGAAAATGAAAAGGATAGAGTCCCAAAAATGGAGAATCTAATCCAGGTAGCAGCAAAAGAAGTTATAGAGTAACTCCCAACACAGAAAAAAACTCAGTCCAGATTGGAACAGGAAGATGGATTCTGGAAGAGAGGGCTGGGAGGCAGAGGGAGGGCAGAAGGAAGGGGGATTGGTATATAAACTGATGTTTGACTATTTTAAAAATAATACTAATAGGTAGATGCATTCTCCAGAATTGACCATATGTTAGGTCACAAGGCAAGTTTCAATACATTTTTTAAAACATCAAAATACTACAAAGCATCTTTTCAGATCACAATGCTATAAAATTAGAAATTAACTACACAAGGAGATCATCAAGGGAAAATATCAAATACATGGAAATTGAATAATACTCTGCTTAAAAGCTATTGGGTAGTAGAAGCAATAAAAAATTTCTGGAATTAAATAAGAACAAAAACACGATATACAAAATAAAAACCTCTGGGACACAGAAAAAGCAGTGTTTAAAGGGCAATGTATAGCAATAAACAAACAGATCCAGAAAGAAGAAAGAATTAAAACTCTCTCTCTTTGCAGATGATATGATCCTATATTTTAAAAATCATAAAGACTTGGTGAGAAAATTATTGGAACTCATTGAAAGATTCAGTAAAGTGGCAGGGTACAAAACCAATATACAAAAATAAGATTCCTTTAAACTAATAGAGAGAACCCTGAAAAAGAAATCAGTCAAAAAACAATAACATGAATGTAAAAGTAAGCTATTATATTAACCATTCACTAACCAAAGAAAGATGTGGTGCTGTGGGTTAATGTGCTGGACTGCAAGGTTACTTTGAACCAAAAGGTCAGTTCAAGCTCACCAGCCATTCCTTGGAAACCCTATACAGCGTCATTATGGGTTGTTATAAATCGGGCTGCAAGCTGCAAGGTCAGCAGTTTGAAACTACCAGCTGTTCCATGGAGAAAGATGAGGTTTTCTGCTCCCATAAAGATTTCCAGCCTTGGAAACCTTGTACAGGGTCACTATGAGTCGGAACCGACTCCACAGCACATAACCACCACCACTACCATGGGTCAGAACTGACTTGATGGCACTTAACAACAACAACTAAAGTAACAAAAGACCTATACAAAGAAAACTACATAACTCTACTACAAGAAACTAAAAAGAGACTCACAAAGTGGAAGAATATACCATGCTAATGGATAGGAAGGATTAACATTGTGAAAATGTCAATGCTACCCAAAGTAATCTATACATATAATGCAAAGCCAATACAGATTTCAACATCTCTTTTTAAAGAGAAGGAAAAACTGATCACTAACTTTCCAAGCAAAGGAAAGAGACCTCAGATAAGCAAAGCATTACTCAAGAAAAAGAACAAAGATGGAGACTTCTCACTTTCTGATCTCAAAATCTACTACACAAATGCATATGACAAGCTATGGACAACATTGCAATGTATGAGTATTCCGGAACACTTAATTGTGCTCATGAGGAATCTGCACCTGGATCAAGAGGCAGTTGTTTGAATAGAACATGGGAACACTGAATGTTTTAAAATTTAAAAAGGTGTATGACAAGTTTCACATAATTGTTCAACCTGTATGCTGAGCAAATAATCTGAGAAGCTGAGTTATATGAAGAAAAACATGGAATCAAGATTGGAGGAAGACTGCGATATGCAGATGATGCAACCTTGTTTGCTGAAAGTGAAAGGGACTTAATATAGTCACTGATAAAGATCAAAGAGTATAGCCTTTGCTATGGATTGCATCTCAATGTAAAGAAAACAAAAATCTCACCACTGGACCATAAACAAGATTCTTATCAACGGAGAAAAGATTGAAGTTGTCAAGGACTTCATTCTTCTTGGATCACCTATCAACACTCACAGAAGCAGCAGTCAAGAAATCAAATGACATATTGCATTAGCAAATCTGTTGCACAAGACCTTTTTAAAGTGTTGAAGAGTAAAGAAGTCAAGTTGAGGACTAAGGTGAGCCTGACTCAAGCCATGGTATTTTCA